CACGATTTGTCCTTCTTACTTTTCGTCCGGTTTTATTTCGTCTTTTTACAGTTCGTCTTAATTGCATTTCGTCTCAATTTTATGTCGTGTCCCTACACTCCGTCTCGATTTTAATTTGTTCTTTTGTATAAGAATAAGACGAAAATTTATTTTAAAAAATTCAATTATTGAGTTTCAAGTTCACTGCGATTCGGTATAAATATTCTTCGATATTGTCGACGTTGTAAGACATGGCAATTCTTTTCAATCGAATATCGAGATCTACATAAACTTTTTTCTTTTTCCCTGGCTGTTCACCCGTACGAAGTCGTTGAATGTCAATCTCGAATCGGGATTGTTCACGTATGATACATTTGGCAAGTTTGGTGATTGAAAGATTTTTGATCGATACTCGATTGTTAAAGGCATTGTGCCATCGCTCAACCGCGTTATTTGACCTTGGCAAGTCATTTATGACTCGCTCGTAAGTATTCCATAGATGTAAACTGAATTTCGGTTTATTGCGTTGATTACCTGAATAAATACAATTAAACGACCCCCAACCTCTTCCTTTTTTTTGTCCTGTCCATACCCTTTCGAAATAATCGAGTAAGGCATAATCTTCTTCATCAAAATCATCAGTAATTGCTGAATAACCTATAGTGACATCCGACACAAGTAAAAACGCAAGAGCCATTAGTTTCTTCGCATTCATGCTAAATTTATCATCGGTAGTGTACTTGTTTTGAAGACCTAGTAATTGGATTTGCCGCCATAAACATTGTCCAAAATGAAATAGACAACCTATTTGTATAATAAAAGTAAATTTCAATAGACCAGCAATCCGTATAAGAACTTGCCTATTTGAACAGCTTGTGGGAATATTGATTTAGTCGATTTTCGTGTAGCAGTTTCATCATCAATTAGAATTGATTCAGGTTCGTAGCCATAATGCATCAATAATTGTTCGAAAAATTGATCATAATCATAGCTATTTTTCCCAATCAGTACTACATATACGAGAGGAATAATTTGAAGTGAATACATTCCATGTACGGTAAATAATTGATAAAAACTTTTTGGGCAAATCTAAGTAGGTTAATATTATTTATCGAAAAATTGAAGAGACATACATACGCTAAATGTTCCGTCCATAAACCAATGTGGACATTCTTTTAAAACGGATGGATTTTTATCACATGTAAATATAACCATTGAATCATCTTCGTGCGAGACAAAGTTTTTACCACAATCAGTTTGATGGAATACAAGAGGTAAGTGACCATTTTCATCGAGTTGCGTTGCTTGCCGTTCACGACGAATTGTTTGCATCAATGCATCGTTTGTCGGCAAACCGGCAGCTACATTTAATGGAATTGTTCTTAATGCAACGAATAATATTGTACTGGTTGTTTCATCCGATGATGCACTACGACCTTTTATTTCATCTTTAACTCGCATGACGTGAACTCGATCTGGATCAGGTGCATGTGTATGTTCAGATGGTTTTTTCATAAATGCATCCATTTGAACATTCGTATGACAACGACCAAAAAACAAATATACGAGATTTAAAAATTAAACCTGATGATTAACTCTTACTTCTACAGTTACGATTTTCACACCGAAAGATACGTTTTTTCTGTTAAATCATAGTAAGTGTAAAAAATCCAGAAAAATAGATTTTTGGATTTCCATGAGAGCTCTGTAAGATTTCAATTGTATCCTTTTCTCGGTTATGGTGTAAATTTGCCGCGATGGTAAAAATTAATAGTGCAAGTGAACAAATGACAAAGACATATATCGATGCTATAGAGAAAGGACAGAGAATAAATATTCTTTCTCTATTGGTCTTTTAAAACAGCGATGATTCACCATATACAACTAGGGATATTTGTATTGTACGTGCACAAATTGACTTTAGTAAGGTTATGAAATGAAATATAAAAAACAAAAGAAAATTGAGACAAAATGTAAGAAGGCAACATAATATTAAGATCAAGTTTAAGCGGACAAAATGTAAGCGACAAATTGTCATCTGCCAAAGTGAGCGGTCACCATCTTTTCATACGGATTCCTCCATCGGTATTTTTTCGAAGAAATGTAAACTACTTTTTCGGCGATTGCTTCGAATTCAAGACAAAGCACAAAAACAAACACTACGAAGAAAAATCCAGTACTGTGAAGAAAGCAAAAGACTCAGGTACCTCTGACGACCGCACATTGACGACAACCATTGTTAGCTCAAACTATAGGGACATCAGCGAAAGAGAGAGGAATCGAGAAAAAGTGACCTTCGGGGGACTCGAACTCACACCTTCTGCTATCCGGGTAGATGTCCTAATCCAGTTAGACTAGAAGGACCGTCTTAATCTCTAGTCTAGCGTTGTGTGATTCATCACAACCGCTAACAACCATAATCATGAATAACTGCAATCCACTTTTTTACTTTCTTCACAGTACTGGATTTTTCTTCGTAGTATTTGTTTCTGTGCTTCGTCTGTAATTCGAAGCAATCGCCGAAAAAGTAGTTTACATTTCTTCGAAAAAATACCGATGGATGAATCCGTATGAAAAGATTACTTATTCGAAATCGTTCTATGTTTGTTCTTGCCTGCCAGTCCCGGTGAAAAATAGTTATTTTATTGTCTGTCAGGTACGACTGAACGCACACAACGCGTTATTCTGCTTACCGGTATGTCACCATATATAAAGGGGTGCTCAGTTGCACATTACCTACATATTCGCTACTCTCAACGACAAGAATATTCGATCGCGCAGTGAGTTAGTTCATTCTTCTTCCTCAGTCATACCTGACAGACAATACAAGAACTATTTTTCACTGGGAGTGGTAGGCAAGAACAAACATAGAAAGGTTTCTCATGAGCAATCTTTTCATACAGATTCATCCATGGGCATTTTTTTCAACAAATGTAAACGTTCGTGTTTTTTTGTCACCTTGTCCGATGGTGTGTTGTATGGGTGAATCCGTGGGAAAGCTACCACTTTATACATCAACTATCTCAGATTTTATTCAAACTTTTAGAGCTGATAGAGCTCAACAAACTGATCATTTCGGTATCAGATTGTCCTAGGTTCCCATGTACCGTAGCCAAAATATGACTAATGCAAGTTGGTATGAAATATACGAAAAATGCAAAGTTTTCATTTTTTCGCAAACAGTGCGAGAGCTTTTTCTCCCTCATTTTACATGCAAGACGCGACAATCTATAGATATTCTAATAGCTCTTGATCAGCTCTAGCCAACCACATAGAAAGGAAAGTCGTGAGCAAGCACACCACGATTCACACCATCACGATCACCCTCAATCGGATTGGATGGTTAGAAGCTGACGATGTAGCTCTCTTGACTGTAAGGAGGGTCACATGTGTGAGTGAGGGTATGGGTATTGGCGTGGATGTGGTGTCACACTAAGGTTAGGTGAATGGATCTGAGTGAAGCTGATGGTTGACAACGTGTTTGCCGGTATGAACCTGGTTGGAGATGTTGGGTGACACTATGGGTGGATGTGTGGGTATAGTTGCTGAGTGACGCAACTTGAGGGTTTGAGTATGGATGGTGGGTTATACCACAGATGGTAATATGGGTCTAAGTAGTAAGTGAAACTCTTGGTGGTGGATTAGATGTGTGTGTTGCGTTGAATCGTCGGTTGAGTGGTATAGTTTGGTGTTGTTAGAAATTACTTTTCGGGAAAAAAAAAATCGTTTTTCTGTTCTAAAAAGATAAGAAACGGTTGAGGAGAAACATTTGAGCCGTTTCCTCGTATATAGACCTGCTAGATCTTCCGTCTCACTTTTTCGACATACAAAAAATACGTGTCCTCCGCAGTCGAGGATTAAGTGAGTCGGCCTGACGAGCGTTACTTCCTTTCTTTTCGAAATAGAAACCTTGCTGCGACATTATGGTTACTCATCGTCGGTAAAGCAAAAAAATGGCCCGATGAATATTATTCCTAACAACACGATGAAAAGCATTCGAAAAATACATGCAGAGCGATGATTATTCATCGTGTAAATAGGTAGAAAAGGCGTCGATACTAGGGTAAAACCCTTTGTATCAAGATTGATTATCTTAACAATACATACATATATACATACATCAAACGCATTTTGACCGAGGTATTCGTCATACACAGTACGATTCAAGGTGTAAGAAGAGATGGCTTCATCAACAATTGTAAAATGATTATTTGTGTTCGATGCAAATATACTCTCCGATTTTTGGCTTATACCATGTTGAGTATAAGAAACAAAGCGTTGAATTTCTCTTTATCGTAAGGATAGAATGATAAAATGTTAAATATAACGTGTTCTGCAGAATCGGAAAAATAGGTTAGGATAAACTGGTTCACTGACAATGACGTAGCCTTCTGTTTTTTTTTCTAGATTGTATAAAGTACGATTACTCGTCATATTTCATTCGTTTTGACAATTACAAGCCCACAAACACATCACGAAGATGTCTACACATACCATTGCATCCGGTGATACTTTCTGGGCACTTGCTCAACGCTATGGTTGCTCCTTGGAAGCGATCATGGGTGCCAATCCTGGTGTTGTACCCGAACACCTTCAAGTGGGTCAAGTCATACGATTACCTGGCGGCGGTGGAGGATCGTCGGGTTCAGGAAATCAAGGCGCATTGGCACCTGGTGGCAACGCACCTCCCGGTGCTCGATTGGATACGACACTGAACGGAAGAGTACCAGGCTGGTGTGAACCGTTACGTAACATGATCAACACAGCTGCACAAAAGACCTACGTTCCAGCAGATCTGATTGCTGCTGTCATCTATCGAGAGTCAAGTGGTAATATCAACGTTAATGCCACAGTCAATGCCAATGGAGGCGCCGATTCTGGCCTTATGCAAGTCAACCAATATACTGCCGCCGAGCTTGAAGGAAAATATCCTGATCGTTTTGCAGGAATTGATGGTGCTGCGAAGAACATTATGTTGGGTGCCAGTTACCTGAGAGATATGTTCAATACCGTGGCTGATCACAACTGGGGCATTGCTCTGCGAGCTTACAATTCTGGACCTAATGGTGTGGACAAAAGTAATCTACATACGCTACCAACCGGGATCGGTGATCGTAACTATGTCGACAGAGTATTCCGAGTTTGGAGTGATATTTCAGCAGGTCGGGATCCTCCTGCTGATCATTATGAGTCTGGCTGAGGTCGAGAGTTTTGGACACTCTCATGGCGTTTTCTTTTTGTTCAACGAGTTTTTATATATTAACCAAGCGGTTCATCTTTATTATCGTTTATATCTAAATTTAATTTTGAATAAATAGCATATACGGATGGTTGTCTGAAAAAGAAGTCGCTGTAGATTTAGACAGCAAACGTGCTGAATCAGTGAGCAAAAAAAGTATCCTTAGTTACTAGTTCACCGAGCTCTTTTTAGCATTTTCCAATAGGCATACTTCGATTGACAATTCTGATGATACAGAGTAAAGGTAATCTTCCCGTGTACTTTATAAGAGTAGGAACCCAACTGTGTACGTCAGTAAAGGTTCATGCGATAAAAGTGGGAAGGTAAATTGTCGTCAGCAAGGTAATCTATTAATAATCCAATCATTGATCTTATCCTAAGGAATTATCTCTGCTCGATAGCGACTGACAGCCGTACCGATGGAATTTCTTCTTTATCCTAGAATATACTTTAGGAAAAACAACGACAGAAGTATTTCTTTTCTGACTGGATACATGCAGACGAGATGACATTCAGTAGTTTATAGTAAAACAGAAAGAAAAAAATTCGTCTCTTGCTGAAAAAGATCACTTCATCGATCACTTGACTATAACTTGATGTTCCGAACGATCAGTATCGCTCAGCTGATCGCTGTGTGACAGTTTGCGACATGATCGTTGGCATCTTTTGAAAGAGGGTCCAGCCGATAGCCGTTTCCTGAAATTCTCGTTTGAAACCATTTGATAATAATACGAAAAGAAGTATGTAGTTGCCAAACACTAAGTTGTGTACAGGCTAGATTAAACGAGAGTACAACGTGTGGTAGAGCACTGATAATGATGATCAGCGGAGTCAAGTAGAGTTCTCGTTGCGTGACAAACTGTTTCTTGAGCATCTGTGCAAATTGTACGTTTGCAAGTTACAATAATGGGATTCTGGAGTTCATCACGCATGCAGCTGTGTTCAGTTGATCGGCACCGATAAACCAGATCGAAAGCCGTGGTTTTCTTGACGCTAACATCTTCGGAAAGATGGCGACGTAGAGACGATCTAGAGCAACCCAGCTTGTCAGCCAGTAAGTGGCTCGAGTAAATATCGAAAGAAGATAAAACAATGTCTTGCATGACAGCACGCGTAGCGAAGGCATGCTAAACACTGATCACTAGCGAGAGAATGACCGAAACAATCGACGCGTCGATGATCAGCTTGACAAATACGCAGATAGTTATGATCGTGGAAGCAGAGAAGATCGATCGACTCGCGGCAGTAACGATGATATTCGAAAATAGCCGGTATTCGCGACGTATTATCTATCATCACAGAAAAAACACTAAGTATCGCAATACTTTTCGTAGAGATCAAAGCGAAAGACCATCTCTTGTTCGAATGAGCGCAGAATGAACTCGCCTTTTCTGAATAATACCGTTGCGTGTGCACAAAAGGTGGGTGCCGATGTACTCTAAAAAAAACGAGTTCTATAAAAACTTTTTAGGGGTTCGGTCAAGCAAAAAGTTCAGTTAAATGATGGATGAAACCACGCATCACTCCTTTTTCAGAGCAGGTTCAGTTTCGCACGTGAACCACCGAATTTCGATGGTTTTCTTTCAAAAGCCATGTTCGAATCCTGTAATAGAATCTGCTGGATCTCTAAAAATTATATTGTTTTCTTGTCAGTATACATACCTATCAAATTGATAAACATACTTCGAATCATAACCAGATGCCAGAACGACAGTACTGAACATAAAACTTCGAATACATACCTCACCATTGATAATAGCTGAAGATTAATCTAAATGTAGAGAGATACTATAGTTTATTTTTATTTAAAACATATAATTTACTCTTGAAATTAGATAGAGATGACCCTAAGTAAAAAAAGATATTATTTTTCTTCATTAAATGTATAAAAATCATCATCGAAATCAAATAAATAGCAACCTAAACATAAAAAATTGTCATTTTTATTTATTCAAAGTATGTGACTTACTTTAAAATGAAAAGAAGATGAATCTAAATAGAGTAAGAAAATACAAGTTTTATTTATATAAAGTATATAACAAGTAACGCTCGCCGAGGCCGACTCGCTAAGCCCTCGACTGATTCACTTTTAATTCGACTCTTGCCATAAGACCCTTTGAAAAGATGTATCAATACACTGATCTCGCAGTCAGCCATCGGCGTCCCTTCGGTCCGCCACTCCCGACTGCTCGATATTGTTTACTAGACTTTATAAGAGGAAATCCATCCTGATTCTCAGCTGTCTCCCCACGTTATTCGTGAAGTTTCTGTTAATATTGGTCTTGAATCATGATGCAAGCACACACCATTCAAGCAATCTTTTCTCATACGATTCTCCCTTCGCACGAAAGAACATCTAATTAGTCCTCCTGCCACTCCTCAATACACTATTGATATAGTCAAATTAGAGATTTAGTAAATTTCGAGCTAAGGCGGTGCGGCATATCTCTCGGATATACAAGCGTTGTTCGGTCAATGGTTGGACCCATTTCAGACGATTTTTAAAAAAAATTAAAGCATTTCGGAAAAGGGGAGAGTGTGTTTTACCTTTGACGTCGCCGGCACAGTTCTTCTCATCCAGCGCCAAGACTCCTCGCAAACGATCCTTTCTTGAGGTTTGAGCGTTTTTGCAAAAATGTTTTTTTGACCTTTAGCCCTGACACAGACAGACAAACAAACTATTTTTTTCATACGACCCTCTTTTCAGCCGAGTGAATAATATAAATTTTCATATTATTTATAAAGATTAAAAAAATAATTTATTTGCTTCCAAACGTACATGTATAACAGTAACATGGACGAATATGTATGTTATATTTTCATTTTCTATCTTCTAGTTGAACTGTAAGTAGTCACACATGGCGAAAGGAATTGAGAGAAATATATATTGTTTATATATAAATGATTTTCGTATGCGGCATACGCGCTTTAGTTGCGAAAAAATTGCTGAAAGTGAAAATGTGTAGTAAATAAGCGATTAGACGGATTTTAACCAAAATTACCCCTTGATATAGTCTATCACTGGTACAAATATTAGGACTATCATGTACAGTCTTCCTGTAATCCTTCCGGAGTCTGCAAAAATCGTTGGGAACTCCTGAAATTTTGTGCACAGAGGTACAACACCTTCATAGATATAGATACAAAAACAAAAAATCTAAAACCCAAAAATAACTAGTAGAAAAGTCATTTGTATGAAAAAAATCACATAAAAACTCTGCTTCTATTTCGACTTTTTAACTAGGAAGGAGTAGTTCGATATGGCTGAATATATCAATGTCCCATCTCATCCATTAAAAAAAACAGCAAAATCTGTGATGCCTTTGTATCACGACCGTCCGAGTCTTACAGGAACCTACTCTTAAGTTTCATTTCGAAACAATTTGAAAGAGTGTCGCATGCCTTTGATTGTTCAATTCCGACACAAGAGAATTTCTTGCATATAAGAGAAACCTTTTTAAATGACAAAAGAAATAAAATAATAGAAAAGAAAATTGATTTCGAGGTCAATATAATGTACCATTTTTCCTTTTGTAAAGGTATGAGCGATCTTGCGACCAGTTTTCATAAACTCTGGAATGAATGTTTTTCTGATACACTAATTTGTAATAGGTAACCTATCGTTGGTTCTAGAAGATTGAACAACCTTCTAGATTATTTAGTACATAAAAAAACCAATTAGAGTATTCCCAAAATAGCTTATAAACAAAGCTGTCTATCTCCACCTTCTTCTCATCTCTTAAGCAAGGAGAAGAAATGAAATAGAGTTTGGACAAAACTAAGGGCTCATCTAGCCCAAAAGTTTTTTGTTGTCACGGGTTCGTCAAGCCCTGACATAGTTCATTGTAAATGCGTCGAATTTTTTTCATTCCTAATTTTTCTTTGTAAATTATTTTAATAAGAGTTTTTCGTATATAAGTTCTGATGAAATCAAGTCGAAACTAGTCAATAAAGTACACAAAACAAACAACTCTTTCTTTTCTTTTAATCTTAATTCTTTTCAAACGAACTAACCAACTACTTCCTTTTCCACATAGATTTCCTAATTCAATAATAAGGAAAACTCCTTGTTCAGTTCGACTAGGTAATGCATTCACATGTGTCAATTGTAATTTTATATCGATTATTTTCTTTTTAGAATCATTCTGTTCAATTCCATAACTAAATGCTGACGTTATCCTTTCAGTAAAAGGTTTTCGTATCATTTGAATCGTTGAATAATGTAATATAAATACATGTTTTACACAATAATTATGTTTATTAAATTGAAAACAGAAGAAAGATCTTCGACTAATTCAGACGATTTGAATTTTTTGGATATTTACCATTCATGAATAAAAATATTGTATTAGTTACTTGAAAAATTCATCTATGAATGTTATATTTCGATAGTAAAAGTACTTAACAACCAGTTTAATTACGATTTCTAACAATAATATGGATTACGGTTATACAGTAAGCTTAAGATTGATTTGTACCTCTTTTTGATTTTTCATGCGTTTTGATGATGTATATGCACTTCGCCGAAAGAATTTTTGTCGCAGAAAATTTTTCATCGCAGAATACGCTGCAAAAGTGAGGGTGATGGTGAAAAAAATCTTTCGACGCAATTCTTTTCGGCGACGTGGTACACAATCATTTTGATGAGTCATTGAATGAGAAAAAATCCAGTGACGAAACGCAATGGGAATATATATGTATAAATGGGATATTTAATCTATTAGATATTTTTAATGACTTATTTGAAAATAATCACAATATGTACTTTTTAAAAGATAAAATCAAAGGTCGATTCTAGTAGAAGAGATGTTTTATTTTGATGGAATACTTTTTCGTTCCATAGGTGCAATAGTATTAAAAGTGCATATAAGTAGAAACGTCTGATTCAAATTTCTGGTATTATAGCTAATCTTTACTGTTTTCTATTAGTAATGCGACAGTCGTCATTACGAAGCACTCCATAGATTTCCCACACAAACACACATATATTTACATACATATAATGAGATTTTAGACAGATGAATAATACGATGGGAGAACAAGAGAAAATGTATGTGTGTTTAATTTTGTTTGTCATTAGCATCTGTATGGCTACAGCACAATGCTAAAGTGTGAGTATATAAATGGAACATTGGACGCCATTTTCTATCATCATATTTATTTTCAAGTATGGCACAAAATTTGAAAAATGATGTTAAAGCTGGTCGTGTACCAATGCGTGGTGTTAATTTGGGTGGATGGCTAGTTGCTGAACATTGGATGACATCAGCTTCGCCTGCTTGGAATGAAGTTCCTGAACATATTGCTAAGCAAGGTGAATTTAAAACAATGCAACATCTCGGTATAAACAATACTAATTGCTATTGTTTCATATCATTATAATTGAAATCTTTCTCTTCTGTTAGGTCATGCTAAAGGTGATTCTCAATTCAATCAACATCGTGATACATATATTACTGAAGAAGATTTTCGTGACATAGCTAAAGCTAAAATGAATACAGTTCGTATTCCTGTTGGTTATTGGATTACAGGCTTCGATAATCAACCTGGGGGTGATCCAGATGGATGGAAAGTGTATGCACCAGGTGCTATAAACTATTTAGATCGAGCTATTCGTGAATGGGCACCTCGAAATGATATACTCGTATGGATTTCANCAGAGAATAAATATTCTTTCTCTATTGATCTTTTAAAACAGTGATGATTCACCATATACAACTAGGGATATTTGTATTGTACGTGCACAAATTGACTTTAGTGAAGTTGTGAAATGAAATATAAAAAACAAAGCAAAATTGAGACAAAATGTAAGAAGGCAAAATGTAAAGGGCAAATTGTCATCTGCCAAAGTTAGCAGTCACCATCTTTTCATACGACTTCATTCATCGGTATTTTTTCGAAGAAATGTAAACTAGTTTTTCGGCGATTGCTTCGAATTACAGACGAAGCACGAAAACAAACACTACGAAGAAAAATCCAGTACTGTGAAGAAAGCAAAAGACTCAGGTACCTCTGACGACCGCACATTGACGACAACCATTGTTAGCTCAAACTATAGGAACATCAGCGAAAGAGAACGAAAGAGAGAACAATCGAACCCACGCCTTCTGATATTCGGGCAGGTGTCCTAATCCAGTTTGACTAGAAGGGCCATCTTAATCTCTAGTCTAGCGTTGTGTGATTCATCACAAACGCTAACAACCATAATCGTGAATAACTGCAATCCACTTTTTTACTAGTGTTTGTTTTTGTGCTTCGTCTGTAATTCGAAGCAATCGCCGAAAAACTAGTTTACATTTCTTCGAAAAAATACCGATGGATGAATCCGTATGAAAATATACCTCATTCGAAACCATTCTATGTTTGTTCTTGCCTACCACTCCCGGTGAAAAATAATTATTTTATTGTCTGTCAGTTATGACTCAACGTACACAATGCGTCGTTCTGCTTACCGGTATGCCACCACATATAAGGAGGTGCTCAATTGCACATTACTTTCATATTCGCTACTCTCAACCACAAGAATAGTCGATCGCGCAGTGAGTTAGTTCATTCTTCTTTCTCAGTAATACCTGACAGACAATAAAAGAACTATTTTTCACTGGGAGTGGTAGGCAAGAACAAACATAGAAACGTTTCTCATGAGCAATTTTTTCATACAGATTCATCTATGGGTATTTTTTCCAGCAAATGTAAACGTTCGTGTTTTTTTGTCACCTTGTCCGATGGTGTGTTGTATGAGTGAATCCGTGGAAAAGCTACCACTTTATACATCAACTATCTCAGATTTAGTTGAAACTTTTAGAGCTGATAGAGCTCAACAAACTGATCATTTCGGTATCGGATTGTCCTAGGTTTCCATGTACCGTAGCCAAAATATGACTAATGCAAAATTTTTATTTTTTCGCAAACAGTGCGAGAGCTTTTTCTCCCTTATTTTACATGCAGAACGCGACAATCTATAGATGTTCTGATAGTTCTTGATCAGCTCTAGCCAACCACATAGAAAAGAAAATGTTCCAGTTCTCGAAGGAAAGTCGTGAGCAAGCACACCACGATTCACACCATTACCCTCACCCTCACCCGGTTTGAACCTGGTTGGAGATGTTGGGTGACACTATGGGTGGATGAGTGGGTCATACCACAGATGGTAATATGAGTCTAGATAATAAGTGAAACCCTTGGTGGCGGATTAGATATGTGTGTTGCGTTGAATCGTCGGTTGAGTAGTATAGTTTGGTGTTGTTAGAAATTATTTTTCGGAAAAAAAATCGTTTTTTTGTTCTAAAAAGATAAGATATGTTTGAGGCGAAACGGTTGAACCGTTTCCTCGTATATAGACCTGCTAGATCATCCATCTAACTTTTTCAACATACAAAAAATACGTGTCCTCCGCAGTCGAGGATTAAGTGAGTCGGCCTGACGAGCTTTACTTCTTTTCTTTTCAAAATAGAAACCTCGCTGCGACATTATGGTTACTGATCGTTGGTAAAGCAAAAAAAATGGCCTGATGAGTATTATTTCCAACAACACGATGAAAAGCATTCGAAAAATAGATGCAGAGCGATGATTATTCATCGAGTAAATAGGTAGAAAAGGTGTCAATACTAGGGGAAAACCCTTTGGGATCAAGATTGATCATCTTATCGATGTATATATATACATACATCAAACGCATTTTGACCGAGGTATTCGTCATACACAGTACGATTCAAGGTGTAAGAAGAGATGGCTTCATCAACAATTGTAAAATGATTATTTGCGTTCGATGCAAACATACTCTCCGATTTTTGGCTTATACCATGTTGAGTATAAGAAACAAAGCGTTGAATTTCTCTTTATCGTAAGGATAGAATGATAAAATGTTAGGTATAACATGTTCTTCAGAATCGGAAAAATAGGTTATGATAAACTGGTTCACTGATAGTGACGCAGCCTCCTGTTTTTTTCTAGATTGTATAAAGTAGGATTATTCGTCATATTTCGTTCCTTTTGACAATTATAAGCCCACAAACCAATCACGAAGATGTCTACACATACCATTGCACCTGGTGATACTTTCTGGGCACTTGCTCAACGCTATGGTTGCTCCTTGGAAGCGATCATGGGTGCCAATCCCGGTGTTATACCGGAACACCTTCAAGTGGGTCAAGTCATACGATTACCTGGCGGTGGTGGAGGATCGTCGGGTTCAGGAAATCAAGGCGCATTGGTACCTAGTGGCAACACACCTCCCGGTGCTCGATTGGATACGACACTGAACGGAAGAGTACCAGGCTGGTGTGAACCGTTACGTAACATGATCAATGCGGCTGCACAAAAGACCTACGTTCCAGCAGATCTGATTGCTGCTGTCATCTATCGAGAGTCAAGTGGTAATATCAACGTTAATGCCACAGTCAATGCCAATGGAGGCGCCGATTCCGGCCTTATGCAAGTCAATCAATATACTGCCGCCGAACTTGAAGGAAAATATCCTGATCGTTTTGCAGGAATTGATGGTGCTGCGAAGAACATTATGTTGGGTGCCAGTTACCTGAGAGATATGTTCAATACTGTGGCTGATCGCAACTGGGACATTGCTCTGCGAGCTTACAATTCTGGACCTAATGGTGTGGACAAAAGTAATCTATATTCCCTACCAACCGGGATCGGTGATCGTAACTATGTCGACAGAGTATTCCGATTTTGGAGTGATATTTCAGCAGGTCGGGATCCTCCTGCTGATCATTATGAGTCTGGTTGAGGTCGAGAGTTTTAGACACTCTCATGGCGTTTTCTTTTTGTTCAACGAATTTTTATATATTAACCAAGCGATTCATCTTTATTATCGTTTATATCTAACTTTAATTCTGAATAAATAGCATATACGGATGATTGTCTGAAAAAGAAGTCGTTGTAGATTTAGACAGCAAACGTGCTGAATCAGTGAACAAAAAAGTATCCTTAGTTACTAGTTCACCGAGCTCTTTTTAGCATTTTCCAATAGGCATACTTCGATTGACAATTCTGATGCTACAGAGTAAGTTAATCTTCCCGTGTACTTTATAAGAGTAGGAATCCAACTGTGTATGTCAGTAAAGGTTCATGTGATAAAAGTGGTACACTGGGAGGTAAACTGTCGTCAGCAAGGTAATCTGTTAATAATCCAGTCATTGATCTTATTCTAAGAAATTATCTCTGCTCGATAGTGACTGACAGCTGTATCGATGGAATTTCTTCTTTATCCTAGAATATACCTTAGGGGGAACAACGACAGGGGTGCTTCTTGTCTGATTGGTTATATGCAGGCGACATGACATTCAGTAGTTTATAGTATAACAGAAAGAAAAAATTCGGTCTATTGCTGAAAAAAATCACTCCATCGATCACTTGACTATAACTTGATGTTTCCAACGATCAGTATCGCTCAACTGATCGCTGCGTGCCAGTTTGCGAATCTGCTCCAAGAAATTCTTAGACGTTGTCATCGGAAATTGATTCGTGTGGTATTCGACACGATGTGATAAGATAATTCGGTTGCACAGCAATCGATGGCATCTTTTGAAAGAGGATCCAGGCGATAGCCGTTTCCTGAAATTCTTATTTGAAACCATTCGATAGTAATACGAAAAGAACAAATCCCAGAATTTGTGAAGCATACGAAAGTAGATATGCTAGCAGAAGTGTATGTAGTTGCCGAACACTAAGCTGTGTACAGGCTAGACTAAAGGAGAGTACAACGTGTGGTAGAGCACTGATAATAATGATCAGCGGAGTCAAGTAGAGTTCTCGTTGCGTGACACACTGTTTCTTGAGCATCTGTACAAATTGTACGTTTGCATTGGCTGTTTTCGCTTTTATACGTGTGGCGAACACAATCAACAGTGTAATGGCGACGGTTTGTAAAGTGAATGGGCCGAGATAATTGAAAAGTGTGTTGACACGGTTGTAACTTGCAATAATGGGATTCTGGAGTTCATTACGCATGCAGCTGTGACCAGTTGATCGGCAACGAAGGTGTAATGCAATGTTCCATGTGTATGCATCGAAGCGAGAATTACCAGCGTCGCTTCGCTATACCAGATCGAAATCCGTGGATTTCTCGAAGGTAACATCTTCGGAAAAATGGCGACGTAGAGACGATCTAGAGCGACCCAGCTCGTCAGCCAGTAAGTGGCTCGAGTAAATATCGAAAGAAGATAAGACAGTGTCTTGCATGAGAGCACGCGTAGCGAAGGCATGCTAACAACATCATCCAGTGACCGTATCAACATATGAATAAACTGAAGTAGCAGACTGAGGAGCACACATTGATTTAGGATCGGCACAATAAGTAGCTTGAATGTAACAAACGAACACAAATTATTGAACAGGCCAATGGAGAAGGATAGACTAGCCAGACAAACATAAGTCGACTGGTGAGCCAAGTTGTCGGAGATGATCAGTGAGTCGATCGTAAATCCTAATGCATTCATACTAGATTCACACAGACGACCTTCATGACAATGAGAACACAAACAAACGAAGTCTTTGCTCTTATGAAGATTGCCGCGAATATAGTGGCCACCTGATAGACATGCCGAACACTGATCACTAGCGAGAGAATGTCCAAAACAATCGACGCGTCGATGATCACATTGACAAATACGCAGATAGTTATGATCGTGAAAGCAGAGAAGATCAATCGACTCGCGACAGAGACGATGATATTCGAAAATAGCCGGTATTCGCGACGTATTATCTATCATCACAGGAAAAACACTAAGTATCGCAATACTTTTCGGAGAGATCAAGGCGAAAGACCATCTCTTGTTCGAATGAGCGCAGAATGAACTCACCTTTTTAGGGTTCGGCCCGCGAGTACAATTTAGAATCATTCTAAAAGGTTTTGGTTCAAAAGGGGTTCTGTGAAACCCTAACTGAACTATCCATGTTTGCTATGACAAAATGGTTCGGTCAAGCAAAAAGTTCAGTCAAATGATGAATGAAACCACTCATCACTCCTTTTTCAGAGGAGGTTCAGTTTCGCACGTGAACCACCGAATTTCGGTGGTTTTATTTCAAAAACCATCTTCGAATCCAGTAACAGAATCTGCTGGATCTCTAAAAATTATATGGTTTTCTTGTCAGCATACATACCTATCAAATTGATAAACATGCTTCGAATCATAAACACATGCCAGAACGACAGTACTGAACATAAGACTTCGAATACATACCTCACCATTGAAAATAGCTGAAGATTAATCTAAATGTAAAGAGATACTATGATTTATATTTATTTAAAACATATAATTTACTCTTGAAATTAGATAAAGAGGACCCTAACTAAAAAAGGATATTATTTTTCTTCATTAAATGTATAAAAATCATCATCGAAATCAAATGAGGATGACCTAAATATAAATAGAGGCAATCATTTTTACTTATGTAAAATATAAAACTTACCATTGAAAATTGATGAAAATGAATCTAAATACGAAAAAAAGATGTTAGCTTTGTTCATTTTAAATATGTAACTCACCATTGAAATCAAATGAATAGCAACCTAAACATAAAAAAATTGTCATTTTTATTTATTGAAAGCATATGACTTACTTTAAAATGAAAAGAAGATGAATCTAAATATAAAATAAGATATTCTTTTTATTTATTTAAAATGTATAACTCATCATTGATATTAGATGAAGGCGAACCTTAAAATAAAAAGAAGTTGTTATTTTTTTATTTAAAATACATAACTTACTGTAGAATTCAGCTCACGACGAACCTAAATAGAGTAAGAAATTACGAGTTTTATTTATATAAAGTATATGACTTACTATGGACATTAGATGAAGATAAATCTAAACACAAAAAGAAGTTATCATTTGTATTTATACGAAATATATAACTTACAATTGAAGTCAGACGACAACGAATTTAAATATAAAAGTTATTATTATTTATTCTGCAATACACAACTCGCCATTGAATTCAAATGAAAAATAATCTAAACATAAATAGAAATTATTATTTTTATTTAAAATTTGCAACTTACCATTAAAATTAGATATTATTTGATGTATTTTAAAATTCATAACATACTATTGACACCAGATGTAGATCAATCTGAGTACACAAAGAATTTATTATTTGTATTTATGTAAAATACATGACTCACCATTGAAAATAGATAAGGATAGATCCAAATATAGAAAGAAGATAGTAATGTTATTGTTATTTGTACAAAGTATAGAACTCATTTTTGAGATTAGATGAGGGTGAACCTAAATATAGAATAAATGCGGAAACCTCGGATTGAAAGCCGGATGTTATGTGTACTTCAAAAAGTAAAGACGATGACAAATTAGTTTTAATGAATTTATCTAAAATAAAACATCCTTGCGCGCACTAAGGAATCGCCCCTTAGGCCCTGCGGATGTCCTCATTTTGACCCGTAGGACGTGGTGAGGAGTTAGTTCCACCGAAGTAATTACTTGCATCAACGGAAAATTTGTTTTACCGGCTTTCTATATCGTTAATGAAAGAATTTCTACGTTATAAACTCATATTTATTAGGTCAAAATGCGGTACAAACTGAGGAGGATTATGTTGAAAAGGTAAAAGAGTATCATAATGTGTACCGGTGTAATAATAAATACGAGGTCCTATTTTGTTTCTGTCTGATTCATATCCAAGGTATATTAAATGATCACCTGCTGTTTTCTTATTAATATTTGCGATATAATTATGCAATCTATAAATATAACTTTCTATTTTTTATCTTATGTCTATCCTTCATATTTTCATTCTCTTGTGTTGCGACACAAGTTTATTTCATTTTGATCTCAGTTTCTTTTTATTAATGGCAAATGATTGCAGTTCTCGACAAGGACAAATTGGTGATGTTTATTTCAATTCTGATATTAATTTGTGTTTTGCATCCTACGATGATATAGAAGATTTGTGCAATAACATCAATTGAGCATATAGAGGTAAGCCATCAACGTCATCATTTGGTGAAAGTTATTCCGATCAGATTGCTGAACAACATTTATTCACTGGACCACAAATTATACCTGAGGAACAATCTAATATCATTCTTGCAGGCAAGCCAAAGTCATCTGCAGAATTCCAGATTGTTGGTTGTTGCAAAATTAGTTCTTATGATGAAAATATACAAATAACTGAAAAGGAAAAAAATGATATTATTCAAAATTCAAATATCATATGTTATAATGATATTGACGATAGAGAGCAGCATGAGATAAGTTGTATTAATTCAATATTTCTTGTAAGTGGTAGACTGAGATAACGAATCGACAGTTTTTTTGTTTTCGTTGATGACTTCAAAACAAATTGTTGATTTCTTGTTTTTTACGTTTTCGACGTTTCGACTTTCAACTATGTGGTCATTTTCAAGAGATAGATGTTGTTGCTTTTGTTGTTGTTTCTGTTGTTTTTGTTAGTTTGCAGCTCATTTTCTATTGTACCACCGAGAAATTCAAGATTTTATTCAAAATTCAAATATCATATGTTTTAGATGCTAGATACATATATTGCATGCGGAATATAGAAAAGTTCTGTAGCTACGTAGAAGTTTTATGTGAATGCTATTTGGTGGTAAGAGTTGGTTTTGTTGGATTTAATTGGCTGAAGATGGTGGAATATTATAATCTGCTATTTTGGAAAGACTGCGTAAGTGTTCTGATACTGTAGTGATTTTTGGCGCTGTTTTAGGGGCAGCGTAATTCGAGAGTGGTGATGCTCGTTGATGTGTTGGCTTGTTTTGTGTTTGTATGCGACGAAGAACCGGTCGGAATAAACAACCTATAGTTCGGTCACACATTGAATTTCCCTTAATGCATATGAGAAAGTGTATCAATGCGCCAATAATTATGATAATGCAAATGATATCTATTATATCTCTCCAGCTGGAGAAGGTTGGTGGACGTCGGGAATGATCCTGAAAGATTTTAGTAAGTGTAGTTTGATTTATAGAACTGTTGAACAGGTATTCGATCATCACCCGATGATCGTTGATTGTTGTTTGAAGAGCTTTGATATCATTGTTCGCAGTTAGTTCTCGCTTTTGATATTTGGTTTTCGGAATGATTTTGACGTTTTCGTGACGTTGGCTACATGTAGCTTCTCTTATCAGTTTTAATACTTGAATGTAGGTGACGGATTCTACGCATGATTTGTTATCTTCGAAGGTGTGATTTGTATTATGAAGATGTTCATTTGGTTTAGGAGGAGCTGGTAGAGAATAACAGAAGTTGGTGGCAAGTTGATAGTTGAGTGAAAGAACGAGAAGAAAATAGTAATTCATTGTGGGAGTTTTTTCTGAAAATGTCGAATAGATATAAAGAAGATATCAATATTAAATAAGAATCACTCACCGAGTAGCCGATTTCGGTAATAATGGCACTTGGTAAGTTTATTCGCACAATAGAAAGACAAAGAAATATATATTTGATTTATATAGTATTTTATTTTATTAAGATACAGATAATAAAACAAAAAGATATTTGACTATAAAAGATGAATACCAGCACGTTTAATATTTTTCTATATAGCAGGTGAGTATGAGATAGACAATTGCATATGCTGTTATTATTTGATCTATCGAATAGACAAACACAGAGACCAACGTGTTATAATTTTTAAAAACAAAAATTTGTTTAGTATTTCCAGTCTTTCTTTTAGTTATTTCAGGGATATGCTATATGCTCAAGAATGCGGCATGATGCTATCGTGGAAAAAAACAAAGAGGTAACTATACTAATTTTATTGTAAATCATGATTTTAAAATTTGTTTAGAAACAAACTTATTTAAAAACAATCGAGTATTATGACGACAAAGTAAAGAAAATGGTATGATGAATTGTAGTAATTTTTGATCATATTAAAGTTTCATGTATATCTATATGTATTCTAAATGCTCTTTTTCTTTTTTTCTCTACGCATAATATTTTTATGGAAGTATTTTTGTTCTATTTTTCTTTGTTCTCTGAAGTTTCTGTGCTTTAATCAAGTTACTTTCATTATTTCACGTTTTGTTTTGTTATATGTTACATTAAATAAAGATGCCTTGAATCTAATAGAATGTTCTTCAAAGCAGCATTAGTCTGTAAGTGCTTACTTAATTTTCTACCATTATCAACAGCGAATGTCTACGACTACCTTTGGCGACACTATGGTTTACAAACGAGCAAGCTCTTTGGTCGATTTGTAACAGAAGAACTTCGATTGCGTAGATCACAAAATGCTATTCGATACATTTCTATATGTAAAAAAGAAAATTTAACCCCTACATTCGCTCATTTTCATTTAGCAAATCCTTATATAAACAGTAAAAGATTAAGAAAAAAGTGTACTCGTCATATTTTACAGGCAGAAATAAAGTTCAAATACCGTCTTATAAGTCGAACCAAAAAGTTTTTGAAGCAATTAGATTTAGAATTAAAACAATGTGTTCCTCATTTAATTTATGTACGTTTACAGTCTATTTCACAAAAAATTGTTAAGAAAAGAATGAATCAAATTGGAAATGGACAAGAAAACAAACTCAATGGATTACGTGCAGCAAAATTAAGTGAAAGTATTTACGGACGTCCCATTAATCCCGTAAGGATTACTTCGTGTAAAATTCTCGATCCAGTTACCAATGTATTACAAGAATTGGGTGATCCTGTGACAAATCTTTCACACTACACATTAAGTGATATCGAAAATGCAGCTCTAATTAACGGACTAGATCATGTGTATCCACCTACAAAACTTGATGAACCACAATTTGTATGCAATATCGAATACTTCTATGCTCGTCTTTTAAATGTAAAACCAGCGCATCGACATTACGAGCAGAAATCATCAGGTGAAGTTGTTCGTCATCAATTAACAACAGCACAACTCAGTGCTGCATCTGAACTTCGAGAGACTGCAAATTCTTTTCGAAAAGTCGCTCAATCGGAGTTGAAGAATGTCGGTGCTGACTATCGTAAAATTTTTAGTACTATTCGTTCTCTTGCAAAAAACGAATCTATTATTATTACTCGACCAGATAAAGGACGCGGCGTAGTAATTATGGATCGCGCAGATTATGTACAAAAAATGAATTTAATTCTTGATGATAAATCTGCTTTCACTTTAATAAATCATGATCCTACAATAGATACTGAAAACGAAATTATTAAATTTCTCGGAGTTTTAAAAAAAGAAGGTTTTATTACTAATCAAGAATATGATATGGCCTGTCCTTCTGGATCGAGACCGGCTCGAATATATGGCGTACCTAAATTACATAAAAAACGAGAAAATTATCCTCTTCGACCTGTAATGTCCGCTACAAAAACAGCAGCATATGGACTCGGTAAAATGTTAGCTAATCGTCTCACTGCACTTCGCACAAGTCCGTATATGATCAAAGATACATTCGATTTTGTTCGAAAAATCAAAAGTTTACAACTTGGCGATAAAAAAATGATTTCTTTTGACGTTACGAGCCTCTTTACAAAGGTTCCACTTACATATACTATCGATATGATACTCGACAAAATGTATCCAAAATGTTCTTTATCGTGCACGTATAAACAACGAAAGCGTCTTTGTGTCGAATGCAGAAACAGGCGAGATTTTGAACATCTTCTTCACTTAGCCACATCAAAAACGCATTTTACCTTCGATAAAAAAATGTACGTTCAGCATAATGGTGTTGCAATGGGTGCTCCTTTGGCTCCAATTATCGCCGATATTTTCATGTCACATCTGGAGGATAAGTTGATGGATCGCTTGAAAGAAATTGGTGTCTGTGAGTGGTATCGATATGTCGACGATACGTTTGTACTGATTGAACCTACAACAGAAGTAGAAGATATACTTAACATTTTAAATAATTTTCATTCATCAATCAAATTCNACGTTCAGCATAATGGTGTTGCAATGGGTGCTCCTTTGGCTCCAATTATCGCCGATATTTTCATGTCACATCTGGAGGATAAGTTGATGGATCGTTTGAAAGAAATTGGTGTCTGTGAGTGGTATCGATATGTCGACGATACGTTTGTACTGATTGAACCTACAACAGAAGTAGAAGATATACTTAACATTTTAAATAATTTTCATTCATCAATCAAATTCACACATCAATCAGAACAAAATTATTCCATTCCTTTCCTTGATGTATGGATTACTCGGTCGTCCTCAACTAAACGTTTTCAAACAGCCGTTTATCGAAAAGAGTCATTCTCCGGACTTCTGACAAAAAGGAATTCATTTGTTCCTACAGCATATAAAAACGCGAGTATAGTCGGCATGATCCACAGAGCTTTAAATATTTGCTCAACATACGAATCTTTAGCCATTGAATTCGAAAATATTCGCCAAATTGGCTTCCACAATGGTTACTCTAAATCATTTATCGACACTCGAATAGGCACCGGCTTAACTAAATTTCTCAACCCATCTGTAACGAATACCAGCGTCAATATGGAAGAGGAAAAGAAAAAGATGTACATAGAAGTACCATACACTGGTGCCACTACAAAATCGTTCACCAAACAATTAGCACGAATATCCGAAAAACTTCGTCCTGATCTTGATGTTCGCTTTTACGCTAAACCACCACCACCAGTCCAAATTCATTTTAACACGAAAGATCCAGTACCAAAACACTTACAGTCGAACGTAGTGTACTCTGTTAAATGTGCGCATTGCGATGATTTCTACGTCGGCGAAACCGAAAGACAAATCATCCGCAGACTTTGGGAACATGGTGCACCAAAATCACTATTTCAAACAAACATAATTTCACTCGACGAAACAAATAACAGCCTAAATGAAGAAAACAACAACAATCAAATTGAAAACACACAGGTGCGCAAAATGGGACAACACGTACATAAAACAATGCGTCAACGAGCGACACCATATCCTACATCAGAAAATCGAACCGAAGTAACAATTCGTAAATCGAGAAGAACTACAGCAAACAATCAATCCACACCACCTTCTTCATTCATCTACACAGGAAGCGCCATATCTCGTCATATAAACGAAACAAACCACACTATAGACTGGGAACATTTCAAACTAGTATGGCAGGATGGAAATCATCATAAGCTATTAACCAAAGAATCTCTCGTTATTCAAGCTTATCAACCACAATTGAATCGCACAACACATTCCAGTCCAATGTACATCTTTCCCGAAGGTCTCCCACAAAATCTAATTCCTGATCCTCAAACTAATCATCAAAATCAAACAACTATCTCACAACCACCACATAGTTGAAAGTCGAAACGTCGAAAATGTAAAAATCAACAATTTGTTTTGAAGTCATCAACGAAAACAAAAAACTGTCTATTCGTTATCTCAGTCTACCACTTACAAGAAATATTGAATTAATACAATTTATCTCATGCTGCTCTCTATCGTCAATATCATCACATATGATAATTGAATTTTGAATAAAAAACGAATACAACTCATTTCTTTAATATTTGCAAATTATATTCTAACCACAATGCCTCGTAGTTATATCCGAAAGAAGCAACCTCATTATTCGACTGCTGACCTGGATAATGCATTGAAATCTATTCGGAGAAACACACTGACCGTAAAGGAGGCATCGAAGAAATATCATATTCCACCATCAACTCTCTATGCACGTTTATCTAATCGTCGTGGAGATGGAAAGTCCGGGGCTAAAACTATTCTAACAAATGAAGAAGAAAAACTTCTTATACATATCATACAGAAGTTCCAAGAATGGCAACAACCATTGACTCGATCGGATCTTATCTCAATCGCGCGTAATTTTATGATGAAGCTCAACAAGACAAATGTCACGTCTACCTCTTCGTTACGAGATTGGTTTCTTTGCTTTCGTCAGCGATGGATGAATGTAATAAAGCTGGTGGAGGCGTATAAACTTGAAAAAATCAGATCAGTTTCGTGCACACAATTAGTTGTTGGTAAGTGTAAAATTAATTTGTTAACTGCTTTTATAATCCTGCTTTTAGATCGTTGGTTTGATCATTNGTGGTACAATAGAAAATGAGCTGCAAACTAACAAAAACAACAGAAACAACAACAAAAGCAACAACATCTATCTCTTGAAAATGACCACATAGTTGAAAGTCGAAACGTCGAAAACGTAAAAAACAAGAAATCAACAATTTGTTTTGAAGTCATCAACGAAAACAAAAAAACTGTTTATTCGTTATCTCAGTCTACCACTTACAAGAAATATTGAATTAATATGATTTTTAGTTCTTGAAGAAAGTTATGAGTAATAAATGAAAAGCTTTAAAACTTGCCAACGAAGAAGCTGATTTACTAAAACATTGAAATTTAATAAATAATTATTTTTCTTATGTTTAGAATGAAAATTCAGGTAAACTACCTGCAGAACAAATTTCTCGATTGTGAAGTGATTCACCTGCACAAGCGGCTCTTATACTGAAGAATTAAATAAACGATTGAATGAATGTCATGAGACGGTGAGGGTGGGTGAGGGTGAGGGTGAAAGTGAGAAAATAAAATCCAGTCTCATATCATCATACTCAAGTTTGATAGAATTATATAAACTTGGAATATGTAATACATCAAGATGAGATGATCATAATCATAGTTAGTTTATTTTTTACGAGTTTGAATCTCGTACCATATATATAGAAGTCTTATGTAACAAACGTACAAATGAATAGATAAATGGATGGAAACCATAATAAACTAGATGAGGGCAAAAACTTGTTTGATTCTTGCACAATGTAGACTGATTAACAGAGCATACGGGCAAATGTTCACAAGATTTTATCTTCACATCCGATAACAATCCAGAAACTGACAATTGTACTTTTTAAACTAATAAAAACTTTCGATATATCTAACGAACCATTTAAACATTTTTCAAGAATAAATCAATGTTCTAGGAATACTGGATTCATTAACGTTTTCATCATCATTGACGTCCAGGGATATTCACTCATCACTACTCCAAGCTTTCATATGTCTCAAGTCTGACCTCACACATCATTTACGAATAACAACTTCGGCCATAGATCGATACATATAAGAAACTAACTAAAAAAAAAGCGTCACAAATACCGCTAAGTCCATCAAAACCACCAAGACCACCAAAACCACCAAGACCACCAAAACCACCAAGACCACCAAAACCACCAAGACCACCAAAACCACCAAGACCACCAAAACCACCAAGACCACCAAGACCACCAAGACCACCAAGACCACCAAGACCACCAAAACCACCAAAACCACCAAGACCACCTAGACCACCAAAACCGCCAAATATTTAAATCGTCGACATCGTAATTACCATGAATACCACCGTTATATCGGGTGACAGCTGCTGAAGAGTAATGTCAGTTGAAATGAGTATGAACCATAGAGAAAAAAATAGCTTGATAATGATCCATAGATAATGATTATTTCTGATTCATCTGTAGCTTCTTCTATGTCAGTCGAGTTTGTCAGAATTCTTCTGATTTTTCTGAATTTGTCGCAAAATCAAAATCCCCATTAACTCATGCTCGCATATGTATGTCGTGGTTATTGTATTGTAAGAAACTAATCGGCAGTTATCTGTTAACAGAACTACGAGTGTTTTAAAGTAAGATATCACAGCGTTCTTATAGATTTGATGATTGTCTTTAAAGCCATCTGTTTGAGCATATCGAAAAGCGGCTTAGCTTTTCCAATAAGCTAAACGCCTTGTTTCCGAAGAGAATCGATAACGTTTGTTTTTTCCAAGATTTTCCACGTTTTCTTATTGACTAAAATGCCATGGGGTAATTAATTCTTCGAAAATGAATTCACAACAAATTGTTAGAGCACCTCGGTGAGGTATTTGGCGTTCTATTTATATAAAAGATGCTGAGTGTTCTAACTCACTCTTCAGCACAAAAAACAGATATATTTTTTTTTAGGAGTGGCAATTTCACTTAACTTTAGGTGTTCAAGTTAACGTCACTCCTGCGGTAAATCGTAGCTCAATTTTCTATTTTGTGGCTTCAAAAAGAAATAAAAGATCATGTGACTTGGTTTTTCAGGTTGACAAACGATCTTTTTTTCTTGTTTCTTTTATCTATCATCGAATAAGACTTGGGAAGAACGAAACGAACACAATGAGAGATGCTGCATGAAGCTCTCAGCAAACTATATCGTGAAACTTTTTACGGTCATGTGTTTTTTTTACTGAAAAACGTCAAATGGTGCAAAACAACCAGTGAAAACTGACTTGGTGGCATTTAGTGTTCTCGAAAACAAAACTTACATAATCAGAATAAATCTCTAATGTAAGCTGTAGAGTTTTTTTAACTTACACTATACTTTTTAGCGAAAAAATTTAATTTCGAGGTGTCAGTTTCTTTTGAAGAAAATCGAATCGGCTTGCGAAGGAGTCAAAGACATAAAAGATTTTCTACTTTTAACTCTTGAAGCGTGTATTTTAAATATCAAAACAGAATTCAATGAGCATGCGTGTTCTAACGCCATCTTTCTGCGCACGTTAACAATTCGTATAACTGTTGAAATGATTACACGTCATTTGTTTTCGACAAAAGCATATATAACTATATCACCACCATGAGTTACTACTGATAACGAACAAAGTCAAACATTTTTCATCGCTTGCAGTCTCTACGGTACGGTCCGCTACACGATTGAAATACAACATGCACACATTTTCCACATTACCCGTCGAACTTGTTTACCGAATTATGGATCATCAAAATGAGGAGACGCTATTTTGCTCAATGCAAAATATTTGCCGGCGGCTCAATCAGATCCTGAGCACCTATGGACGATACCGAGTAAGTTTACTAGGCACCTTAACACTCTTGTCGGCTGTACTCCACATAAGCTTGGTGACATCTGCCGGCGTAAATTTCCTCATAGGCTGAGGTAAATTAATTTCATAGTCCTCAAATAATTTGATCGAATCACACGATCACAGTGTGAAGTAATCAAATCAAACATTCCTCCATTCTCTCGTCTTTCTCCTATGTATGTTGAACTATTCGATACATAAGTGCATCAACTATCACTTTTGATGAAACCTCACAAATGAAGCAAACTGATCTCCACAATTTCAGAGTCTATGCCTATATTCATTCTCACCATCACCCACACCAAATCCAACTCCCACATATCACAAGAGTAGGATTTCAATTTCATCGGAGGGCGCCCTCAAAAGAGATATCTAGCTACAATCAATAGCTATTCATAGTTATATCCGACTATTTCCACTCGATCAGCTCACAGTAATCTCCTGTCCATATTGCCCACACAGCTCCTCTTCTCTGAACGCAGTCTTTCCTGCGCAACAACTACCATCGTCATCCGCCCTGAAACTGACATATAGATCCCCCTACTCCCTACAAATCGTCCCCAAACGTCCCTATTTCATATCACATATATACAGTCGGAAGTGTCATCAAAGGTTTTCTTTGCTACTTGTCCCTTTCATAATAGATTCCTTTCATGTAGAAACTCACCACACTCAACCTCAATTCGAACAAAATCGGTGCTAAAGGAGCACAACACATTGCGGATGCGTTGCGAACGAACACGGTAATATTGATCTCATTCCACGGAAGGTGAAGTATTCATTCTCCCTCACACTTACAGACGCTCACCACACTAGATCTCGATTATAACGGAATCGGTGCTAAAGGAGCAAAACACATTGCGCATGCGTTGCGAACGAACACGGTAATATTGATCTCATTTCACGCAAGGTGAAGTATTCGGTCTATCTCACACTTACAGACGCTCGCCACGCTAAACCTCCGCCGTAACGAAATTGGTGATGAAGGAGCACAACACATTGTGAACGCGTTGCGAACCAGCACGGTAATAGTGATCTCATTCCACGGAAGCTGAAGTACTCAGTCTCTCTCATACCTACAGACACTCAACACGCTAAACCTCGTCGCCAACGGAATCGGTGATGAAGGAGCACAACACATTGCGGATGCGTTGCGAACGAACACGGTAATATTGATCTCATTCCATGGAAGGCGAAGTATTCATTCTCTCCCACACGTACAGACACTCATCACACTAGATCTCGGCTCTAACCGAATCGCTGTTGAAGGAGCAAAACACATTGCGGACGCGTTGCGAACGAACACGGTAATATTGATCTCATTTCACGCAAGGTGAAGTATTCGGTCTATCTCACACTTACAGACGCTCGCCACGCTAAACCTCCGCCGTAACGGAATTGGTGATGAAGGAGCACAGCACATTGCGGATGCATTGCGAACGAACACGGTAATATTGATCTCATTCCATGGAAGCTGAAGTATTCATTCTCTCTCGGATCTACAGACACTCGCCACACTAGATCTCGAGTATAACGGAATCGGTGCTAAAGGAGCAAAACACATTGCGGATGCGTTGCGAACGAACACGGTAATATTGATCTCATTCCACGGAAGGTGGAGTACTCAGTCTCTCTCATACCTACAGACGCTCGCCACGCTAAACCTCCGCGAGAACGGAATTGGTGATGAAGGAGCACAGCACATTGCGGATGCATTGCGAACGAACACGGTAATATTGATCTCATTCCATGGAAGCTGAAGTATTCATTCTCTCTCGGATCTACAGACACTCGCCACGCTAAAACTCCAGTATAACGAAATTGGTGCTAAAGGAGCACAAAACATTGCGGACGCGTTGCGAACGAACACGGTAATATTGATCTCATTCCACGGAAGGTGAAGTATTCATTCTCTCTCGCACCTACAGACACTCGCCACACTAAACCTCGCCGGCAACAGAATCGGTGATGACGGAGCACAACACATTGCGGGTGCGTTGCGAACGAACACGGTAATATTGATCTCATTCCACGGAAGCTGAAGTACTCAGTCTCTCTCATACTTACAGACGCTCGCCACACTAGATCTCGGCAGGAAGCAAATCAGTGATGAAGCAGCGCAACTCATTGCGGACGCGTTAGGTCGGAATGCAGTAAGACTGATGCTTTGGTGGAACAAAATTTGGAGTATCTGATTTATCGAATTCTTAGAGAGTCAAAATGGTGTAGATCTTGCGCTGAATGGAATGGGAGAACAAGTTATAGTCGATCTGGTGATTCTTTTCGTAGAAAGGATGTTTTTCGTTCGAGAACTTAGTTGGTATCAGTTGGTGTGTGATTTTGGTGGTATTGATAGGTAACGGGTGGTCGGAAAGTTTTGGGACAAAAGTAAAACGTTTATTTCTACATCATTTTTCACTTTTATTTTCTAACTTCTTCATCAAAAATACAATGGCACACAACGAACCAAACAGTATATTCACAAAATAGAAAAAGGTCCTTTGTCTTCAATTTTTCGTAATTTTCGACGAACACCTTTCATCATGGTTTGGACGACATTCAAATCAACTTTTTTCAATTGTGTTTTGATTCTATTGATTAACTGTTCTTGATTCATAGCTGTCCAACCTCCACTATACACCTGCTGAGCCAATATTCCCCAAAAATCTTCAATTGGTCGGGCCTTTGGAACATTTGGGGGATTGACATGTTTTGGCACAAATGGTACTTTTTGTTCGCTCAACCAGTCTGTTGTCTTTTTGGCATAATGTGAGCTAGCTAGATCCGGCCAAAAGATATATTTATCATCAATATGATGTTCATTGATAAATTTAATCAATTTTGGTAAACATTTTCCAATATAGACGCGGGCATCAACCGCTGGTCCGTTCGTTGTTCCAATGTATGGTGCCGAAATGCCTTTGCTGGATAATGCCAACCAGACCAATATTTTAGGTTCGAATTTTTGTTTTGATTTGTACTTTACATCTGGTGGAGCAGTTTCTTTGTCAGAAGAATAAAATCCGGCGTTTCCGGGCATATTAACACCTGAAAATGTAAAATACTTTTCATCATCAACAATGATGAAAGTTTCGGAATCCATGATTTCTCGACGTAATTTTCGACACTTGATCGGTATTTGTTCCATTTGTTTTTCACTGTATTTTGGTGCACGTTGTCGCTTGTAGTGTTTTAAGCCAAGTTTCTTCAAATTCTCTTGAATACACGTCTTTGACACGGTAAATTTCGAAGCCAACGTTCTTTGGCTGATACCAACACGGTTTTCAGCCAACTTTTTCAATTTTCGTTGCTGCTTCTTCTTCAATTTTGTTGGACGACCTTTTCTTGGCTTGTCGTCACATGGCAGACCACTTTTGAAACGTTGTATGGTACGATAAATTGTTGATCGTGAAATACCTTCAACTTGAAAATGTTTTACAACATCAGATTCTTTTATTCGTCCAAGTAGAGAATAGATGCGTCTTCGAACATCAACTTTTTTTTCCACACAGGAACTCATCGTTGAAATATGTTATATATATCTAGAAAGAGATTCAAACCGACTACAAACCTGTATAAAAATGAGTTTTTATTTCAAGCTTTTAAATGGTTTTTTTTACTAGACATTTTGTCCCAAAACTTTCCGACCACCCGTTAGTGGATGAATAAAAAATGAATTGTGTTGCCAGAAGAGGATGTGACCTTAATGAGAATGCTTGTTGTTGTGGAAAAATATATGTGGATTAGTGGAGGTGAATGCTTTAGTTGCGTGGTTGTAACAGAACAGTGTTTGATGGAAGAGGTGCCATGGTACGATGCTTATATGAGAGATTCTCGTGGATTGGAATTTCTTTCTGAAAGTGTGTGATTGACAAGACAACATTACTGCAGACTGCTCGACTATATTGGAGATGTGGCAGAATTGTATTGACAGGAGTACAGCACGTATGCATTTTACATGTCAGTTCTCGTAAAGGCAAAGTGATCAGACCAAGGTACATTGAATGGGACAGATGTTTCTTTATTATCTAGCTGTTTTATGTTTGATTCCAAATCCTAAATGTATTGAGAGCTTGATAATGAAGTGTTATGTTTGTTGCAATTTATTTTTGGAGAGGATAGTATGTATCCGTTATCTATGAATTCTGTGGTGCATTGGAAAGAAACAATGTAGTATAAAGTGAATGAAATGGCACAGTGAAGGGAGAATGGTCAAAAAGTAGGGCAGCAAATCGCGCTGTTAGACTAATCGTTTGCCACGATCAGCGTAGTCTGAGAAGAAGTTATTTCGTCGATTATGATCAGCTCCATGCACTCTCAGTGTAGATCCATATGAAAATATCAGAGAAGTATGTGTTGCAACATTTTATCGCGGAAAAAGCACTGGAATATACTCTCGAACTTGTTCCCAGGTCGAACAATCCCATACTCGGATCCCATCGAATCCCATCGGATCCAATACAGAATTTTATCGGATCCTACAGGAATTCGACGGATCCGATGAAATCCTGGTGACGGAATCGCATTGAATTCCGACGGTCTCGGATCCGATCGGATCCAGCATCGGATTTGTTGACCTGGGTTTGTATATTATTCTGTTAACAGGGTTTTTCGTTTATGGTTTGCTTACGTGTAAACTCTCTACACTGCTTGAAACTATAGGAAATTTGAGGCCGTAAGAATAGCGGAGGATAACCAGTTTGACGAGTTTTCTCAGTCAGATTTAGACTGGTACATTTAATATCTAATGATAGGCCCCTATTGTACCCTTGCTCTAAGATCTATCTTTCTAATGATGAAAAAACTGAAACCAGTTAGTTGTGCATCATTCAACATCATAGCCTGTGCGCTGAGATATTATATATTTGTAGCGTTCCTCAACATTACACTGTAAGACAACGTACATTTCGTTTGATTTGGGTACCTGCCTTTGAGTTCTCTGCATGTATCGGCGATTGAAACCTCGCACGAAATGATGATCATTGAAGAGAAGTGGATTTTGGCTATCTGACGTCACTCCAGACTGATTTTGTGTCTGTAGTGTTGCTAGGTTTTGAGATGTATCTGAAATTATATGTATATATACCGCCTTTTTGAAAGGGGTTAACAGAACTTAGTCAAAGTACACTCATATAAATTGAGTGGACTGCTCTGTAAAAAAATACCGGGCTATAAGGAACTATCTAAGGTTCTAGCATAGATTCAGAACCTTTTAAGGTTTCATTCGTTTAACAATAAACCATCAAAAGGTTTTAGATAATTTAAAAAACTATTTGAGAAAACCAAATGGTTTGGTACACCCAAAAGGGTTTTAGTTTGCACTACTTTTCCAAATACGGAATCTTCACAGATAAAAAATGCTTCCAGACACTTGAAAGGGTTCTATATTGCACCATATTTTTTCATTCAGANATAAGTAGTTGAATAGGGAACCAATAGATAGTGGAAGGTAGAGCAACTAAAATGAACTGTTCTCTGGAAGACTAGAACCATTTTTTGGGAAAATAGAAAAAAGTTTTGGATAAAACCAGATTGGGCTTGAACCTTAGAGGGTTCTGAAAATGGTACCGAAATCTAGAACCTTATATGGTTCAGTATGACGCCTTTTTTTTTAAAGAGTATTCTATTGATCGCGTTAATTTATATAAAACTATTTCGGTACGTTCGTCGGATGAGTAAGCGTGTCATATCCGTTAACGTTTTAATTCGTGCACGAAAAGAATTACAAATGGTCCGGCGAGTCGTTATACTGACCATGATCTTGATACTTGTTTGTTTGCCTTATACAATCTTTATTATTGTCTCTCTGTTCACCAATCCACCACGATATCATTTTCGAATTGCTTACGTATTTGTGGATCTAGTGTATACATTTGTCATGATTACTCTATTCCAGTTTACTGAACCTCTTAAATCATATGTGAAAAAGAAACTTATACGATCGCGGACGAATGTCATTGCCGTTGTGAGGGCAGCATAAACATCGTCACAATTGTGTTTACTGTAGATGTGAGTGTGTGCACATTTTATTTTATTTGTGGTGAATATCTTCATCACATAAGATTACTTTTATGAGAGAGTGGATGATATTGAGAGATGGGTTTTAGTGGCAAGTCTCACTCTCTAAATATATACAGCACAAACTGAAAAGATAAAAATGACTTTTTTTTTGTTATTTTACGATTGTCAATATTATTGAAATACTAATTCTGAAGAAGAAAAAAGCTGTAGAAGTTTTAACTGTATAATATTCTGTGTTGAAGTCGGATTCATTTCTATAGTTCCTTTTTACGTTCATGTTCGGGATCTCCTTCTGATTGCATTGCAGCAGTGATGCTTCCCACTGATGCCGGTGCTCCATAAGTGCCAATGTGTTTCGTGGCTGTATTGGAGTACTGAATCGAATTTGGATCCACTTCCCGAATATCGACGATTTTTGAATTGAATGAATCCAAGTTGGCTTCACCTTTAATACCAAGATTGACTTTTCCGTGCGGATGATCAGCTAATCGTTCGTTATTGATCAAATTCTTTGGTAGATCACCTTGGGTCTTACGTTGTCTATTTATAGCACCAGAGTTTTTCTGAGGTATAGCTTCTTGCTTAATTATCTCATAGTCAGACTTCGGTAATTTTATTTGAACGTCAGTATACTTATTCGTTGGATCCATTTCATTTTTGTGCTTTAAATAATTTTTCTGATGTCGGTTGATGCTTTCGGATGTCCATGTTTCGCCTTCGGGTGTTGCAACCTTTGGTAGCTGTTGTTGCTTAATAGCTTGTACTGCATCTTCTTTCTTCATAACACGATAGACTCGTTGGTTATTCATTCGATCGATCGCCTTTGCTGATATTTTTCCACCGGCTCGTCCGGCTATACCATCCATAGTTACGCCAGCTACTAAATCGAAAATATCACCTGATTTCGAACTGGATTCATCCTTAACTAAATTCGTAACCAATGCAATGTTACCAGCTGGACGATATTCACTATGCACAGCCGAATCAACTCCTGTTGTTATTCCATCCATAGCAATACCACCTACGACGCCTCCCGCGACAGCACCAGCTGGTCCGCCTACTAGCAAGCCAGCAGCTCCACCACCTATTACACCGACTGTTCGCGATGCACTTTTCATTGCTTGATCGCCGCCTTCTTTATCTCCAGCTGCATAATGAATAGCGCCTTTAGCATGACCGACAATAGGTATTCCGTCGGCTAAATTACCCATAGTATTTACAAAGTATTCTTGTGTTTTCTGTGCTGCTTCAGTGTTACCGCCTATTGCTTCACCAGCTGATCGAAGCTGTGATACAACAGGACAACCACGAGAAAAGTTCTCCTGGGTTCGTCGTGCTCCTTCGGTATCACCTGCTATTGCTTGAACTGCAGATTTCAGCTGTGAAATTACTGGAAGTATATCAAATATATCACCAATAACTACATGCGTTGAATAACAAAGTATCAAGAGAAGAAACATTTTACGCGACATTCTTTGATCTCTCTTCAATAGCAAAATATAGAAAACGATCACAAAAAAATGAGGTAGAAATTATGCAATTTATATACACCGTACTAATATACCATAGCGATTGACGAGATGACACGTAGATGCAATCCAATTCGTCATCAGTAGTATTTACACTTGAAGAAGATTTCAAACATCGGTTGATAAATATATATCGCAACAATTATGGCGTATATACGTTGTGCTATGTGATGATAAGCAGTCATGGGTTTTTTCTCTTTCTTTTTGTTGGAATTTTTCGTAAGAATAATCTTATATAACGTTTGATTTCTCGTTTCATTCATGAAAGAATCTTGCATGAAGGAGTATGATGCTTTTAGTATAAGTATTAGTAGAAAAACTCCGTCAATTATATTTAATAAATGCGTAGCAACACTTGTAACTGCCGTATTTGATGTCTTCAAGTGTAGATATTCTCGGAATGAACTCAATACATAAAACACATCGTTTGAACAGAAAATGTTTGTTGTTATTGAGGTATATTCGTTACTTTCACATCGATGATGATATCATTTCTGAAATAAATTGCATGTGTGCGATCTATCTAATCGAAAATATTGATCGAATCCTTATCATTTGAATATCGTCATTAAGGATTATCAAAAAAAAACAATTAAATCTTATCCAGATCGAGGTAGAATGCGTTAGGGAGGCTTATTCTTTTACGGGAGCTATTACATTTCTCTAAGATCTATATACCACGCATACAGTAAGAAGTTAGAAGCCATTGTTCTATTGCATTAGTATTTGATGAGCTTTTTCCGGAAATTTCTCTGTCTGCTAATGGCCCTGTTGAAAGTCTCAAGTAAAAAATCAGACATCGAGGACTTTTATTTTTCATTACAAAGCAAAAACCACTTAATTATAGGTACTTTTTTGAAAAATTGAGAAGATCATTTTGCATTTGTTCACGAATATTGTTCAACGAAAGAAATGCTCACTTGTTGATTGTTCTATTCATTGTCAAGGAAGTTTCAAGTCAGTTCCCGTGGAAAAATGCAAATTGGTTTGAAAATGTTGAGTAAATTGAATCGATTTGATTTGTTTATTGATGAAAGCAATATAATTTATACCTAAAATGGACGGAGTTTGATCGTGTACTGCAAGGAAATTAGAGTTTAACGTTGAATATTTCAATGAATTTGGTAAATTCCTCAAGTTTATTTGTCACGAAAGAAAAAAGATTTATGTTTTTACATTGCATTCGTCAAATATGAGTGTTGTGAGTGAAAATTAAACTATTTACTGTTCATTATCTGACCAACATCGAATCATTTCGGAGTCATTACTCAAGCAATGGGATTACCTGTCAGCTATTGCGAGCAGAGGAAAGTGCAGGATCAACACCAATGACACTCCAAAATCCTCGTGAAATTGCTTTTTGATGAAATAGTTCTTTCGAATTAAACAATTGTTTCGGATTGTCTAAATGGAGCTTATCTATTTGTTGTTGATTCGAATAATCATCGAGTTCCTGGACAAAATTCGAATGATTTTTGTTATCTAATTGGGCGTAATCGATCAGCAGGATTGGATGCAAATCAATTGAATTCTCCATTAAATCTTCAATCTGATTCATTTGGAAATCCTTTTGTTAATAATCCACAGAGCCATTGGATTCAAAAATTTCATTTAACTTCCCCTCCAAAACGTAATTTGAAATGAAACATGAGTGTTGCACGATACGGACATATAGCATCGACTCTATCAAATAAGGTAATATTAGCAAAAGGCGGATGCTGTTCTTCAAGCAGTGCCGAATTATACTGATTTAAAAAGGCGTAAAGATTGAATGTTTGTTTGTTTTCGAGAGAAAAAAAGAAAATGTTGTAAAACGAAACGAATATGAAAACAATCCAAAAAACTCATAAGATTTCAGAGACAATAAAATAATCTGTTCAATTTGATGATCTGTCATGATTAAGGCGTTCAACATATCCGTGATGGTTCTGCGTTATCTTATGTATAAGAGACCAAACTTTCACTTCGAAAAATTCTAGTAGCCTTATAAATGAAAGTTGTTTTTCTGAAAAAAGTCTAGTCAAACATGTTGTCAACTGTATAAGGATGCATTAATATTTATATCGATCTCTCAAGACTTTCTCTGAGCTGAGAAAGCGCTGCAGAAAGCTCGATGACATCTATTACTAAACAGATCCTCTGGCTGAAATCTCACTCATTCGTGTAGAGACGAATAATTTGAATGTGAGAGAGTAAAAAAGATAAGATGGTGACTCTATGCAAACAGTTCTCGCGTGATAACAAAACTTGAGCTTTGTTCGTTGGCTATCTCGGAGAGAAGCACACGTATATATAAATAAATTTCATTCACGAGATTTTATATTTCAACAATAAGATGAAAACTGTGGTTTGATGGACGATTCTGTTTCGTTTTAGATAGCGTCATTTTGGAAATGTCACTGATTGTTGCTTTGATACTCGGCATTGGGCATGAAATTGAAGATGAAATAGCCTATCAATTAGGAAAGAAAGGAATATGCGTTGCATATTATTCTAAGAATAAAAAAAATGACCTTGAGCGAATAACAAAAATATTGAGCGATGAAGACATTCAACCAAACTTTATTTTACTGGATACTGCTGACAATGTAATTCAACGACTTGACGAAGAATTCGGAAAATTAGATGTACTAATCAATGTTGGAATATTACTTGACAATGGTCAGTTTAAAATCAATCTACTGACATCAACAAAATTCGAAGCGAACGACTTTTTCGATACGTTGCATGCATCCGAAAAATTCATTCCTATATTACAAAAATCGCCTTCAAGTTCTGTGATTAATGTGTATACTCAAACCAAAGGAGCATCGCTCAGTGCACTAGTGCAAAACTGTACAGCGAAGATGGCTGAACATCAGT